CAGCTTCATGGAAACTGAACAACTGGCTCTTGAATGTTGACTGGATAAGCAATGAAATGAAGGCAGAAATAAAGAAGTTCTTCAAAACCAACGAGAACAAAGACACAACATACCAGAATTTCTGGGATACATGTAAAGCAGTCTCTAGAGGAAAATATATAGCAATAAGTGCCCACATGAGAAGAGCGGAGAGATCCAAAATTGACACCCTATCATCAAAATTGAAAGAGTTAGAGAAGCAAGATCAAAACAACTCAAAACCTAGCAGAAGGCAAAAAATAACTAAGATCAGAGAAGAACTGAAGGAGATAGAGACATGAAAATCCCTTCAAAAAATCAATAAATCCAAGAGCTGTTTTTTTTAAAAGATCAACAAAATAGACAGAGCACTAGCCAGATTGATAAAAAAGAAAAGAGAGAATAACCAAATAGATGCAATAAAAAACGATAAAGTGGATATCACCACAGATTCCACAGAAATTCAAACCATCATCAGAGAATATTACAAACAACTCTATGCACATAAACTAGTAAACTTGGAAGAAATGGATAAATTCCTGGACACGTGTGTCCTCCCAAGCCTAAACCAGGAGGAAGTTGAAACTATGAATAGACCAATAACAAGATTTGAAGTTGAGGCAGCAATTAAGAGCCTACCACTCAAAAAAATCCCAGGTCCAGATGGGTTCACAGCCGAATTCTACCAGACACAAAAAGAGGAACTGTTACCATTCCTTCTGAAACTATTTCACATAATCGAGAAAGAGGAAATTCTTCCTAAATCATTTTATGAAACCAACATCATCCTGATACCAAAACCTGGAAGAGACTCAACAACAAAAGAAAACTTCAGGCCAATATCCATGATGAACATAGATGCAAAAATCTTTGATAAAATACTGGCAAGCCGATTGCAACAGCACATCAAAAAGCTTATCCACCATGATCAAGTAGGATTCATTCTGGGGATGCAAGGCTGGTTCAACATATGCAAGTCTATAAACGTAATTCACCACATAAACAGGACCAAAAACAAAAACCACATGATTATCTCAATTGACGCAGAGAAGGCCTTTGACAAAATTCAACAGCCCTTTATGCTAAATACCCTCAATACACTCGGTATTGATGGAACATATCTCAAAATAATAAAAGCTATTTACGACAAACCAACAGCCAATATTATACTGAATGGGCAAAAACGGGAAGCATTCCCTTTGAAATCTGGCACTAGACAAGGATGCCCTCTCTCACCACTCCTACTCAATATAGTACTGGAATTTCTAGCCAGAGCAATCAGGCAAGAAAAAGAAATAAAGGGTATTCAAATAGGAAAGGAGGAAGCCAAAATGTCTCTATTTGCAGACGACATGATAGTATATCTAGAAGACCCCATCGTCTCAGCCCAAAAACTCCTGAAACTGATAAGCAACTTCAGCAAAGTCTCAGGATATAAAATCAATGTGCAAAAATCACAAGCATTCCTATACAATAATAACAGTCTTAAAGAGAGCCAAATCAAGAACGAACTGCCATTCACAATTGCTACAAAGAGAATAAAATACCTAGGAATACAACTTACAAGGAGCGTAAGGGACCTCTTCAAGGAGAACTACAAACCGCTGCTCAACGAAATAAGAGAGGACACGAACAAATGGAGAAACATTCCATGTTCATGGTTAGGAAGAATTAATATCGTGAAAATGGCCATACTGCCCAAAGTAATATACAGATTCAACGCTATTCCCATCAAGTTACCAATGATGTTCTTCACAGAACTGGAAAAAACCACCTTGAACTTCATATGAAACCAAAAGAGAGCCCACATAGCCAAGTAAGTCAATTCTAAGCAAAAGAACACAGCAGGAGGCATCACACTATCAGACTTCAAACTATACTACAAGGCTACAGTAATCAAAACAGTATGGTACTGGTACCAAAACAGAGATATGGACCAATGGAACAGAACAGAGGCCTCGGAGGCAACACAACATATCTACAACCATACAATCTTTGATAAACCTGACAAAAACAAGCAATGGGGAAAGGATTCCCTGTTTAATAAATGGTGTTGGGAAAACTGGCTAGCCATGTGCAGAAAGCAGAAACTGGACCCCTTCCTGACACCTTACACTAAAATTAACTCCAGATGGATTAAAGACTTAAACATAAGACCTAACATCATAAAAACCCTAGAAGAAAATCTAGGCAAAACCATTCAGGTCATAGGAGTAGGCAAGGACTTCACGACCAAAACACCAAAAGCATTGGCAACAAAAGCCAAAATAGATAAATGGGACCTAATCAAACTCCACAGCTTCTGCATAGCAAAAGAAACAGTCATTAGAGTCAATTGGCAACCAACAGAATGGGAAAAAATATTTGCAGTTTACCCATCTGACAAAGGGTTGATATTCAGAATTTACAAAGAACTCAAACAGATTTACAGAAAAAAAACAAGCCCATTCAAAAATGGGCAAAGGATATGAACAGACATTTTACAAAAGAAGACATGAGGCCAAGAAACATATGAAAAAATGCTCATCATCACTGATCATTAGAGAAATGCAAATCAAAACTACATTGAGATACCATCTCACGCCAATTAGAACAGCGATCATTAAAAAATCTGGAGACAACAGATGCTGGAGAGGATGTGGAGAAATAGGAACACTTTTACACTGTTGGTGGGAGTCTAAATTAGTTCAACCATTGTGGAAGACAGTGTGGCGATTCCTCAAGGACCTACAAATAGAAATTCCATTTGACCCCGCAATCCCATTACTGGGTATATATCCAAAGGATTATAAATCATTCTACTATAAGGACACATGCACACAAATGTTCATTGCAGCACTGTTTACGATAGCAAAGATCTGGAATCAACCCAAATGCCCATCGATGATAGACTGGACAGGGAAAATGTGGCACATATACACCATGAAATATTATGCAGCCATCAAAAATGATAAGCCAAAACTAACACCGCATGTTCTCACTTATAGGCAGGTGCTGAACAATGAGAACACATGGACGCAGGGTCCGGAGCACTACACACTGAGGTCTGTTGGGGGAAAATAGGGTAGGGATGGTGGGGTGGGGATTTGGGGAGAGACAGCATGGGGAGAAATGCCAGATATAGGTGATGGGGAGGAAGGCAGCATATCACACTGCCTTGTGTGTACCTATGCAACAATATTGCATGTTCTTCAAATGTACCCCAAAACCTAAAATGCAATTAAAAAAAAAAACCAGCCTAGATTTAAAAAGTCTAGGCATATCAAATATATATATAAACACACACATATATGAATTGCATCCTTGTGACATACCATTTATATTCACTTCGTGGAGTTGTCATGAGTATTTAAGATAAATTGTGAAGTGCACCATTGCCTAATACTCAATTAATTTTAGTTTTCTTTTCTTCCCACCTTACCCTGGGAATTACTTAGATGGTTACTTTTTCAAACCAGTCTCTTCTACCTTTAATCCTTTTTTTTTTTTTTTTTTGAGATGGAGTCTCACTCTGTTGCCCAGGCTGGAGTGTAAAGTGGCATGATCTCAGCTCACTGCAACCTCAGCCTCCCACGTTCAAGAGATTCACCTGCCTCAGCGTCCTGAGCAGCTGGGATTACAGGCATGCACCACCATGCCTGGTTAATTTTTGTATCTTTAGTAGAGATGAGGTTTCTCCATGTTGGTCAGGCTGGTCTCAAACTCCTGACCTCAGGTGATCCAACTGCCTCAGCCTCCCAGAGTACTGGATTAGTATAGGCATGAGCCACCGTGCCTAGCCGAGATTTTTATTTTTTAAACTTATTACATAAATACTATTTACTTGACTGAATATTCAATAATTAAAAGTTTTGATAAAGAGATGTTTCTGATATAGGAAGGAGGCATGAAAAAGCATGCTAATTTCTTTCTTTCTTGTTTTTTTGAGACAGTCTCGCTCTGTCCCTAGAGCTGGAGTGCAGTGGAGCGATCTTGGCTCACAGCAACTTCCACCTTCCAGGTTCAAGCAATTCTCCTGCCTCAGCCTCCTGAGTACCTGGGATTACAGACATGTGCCACCAGCTAATTTATGTATTTTTAGTAGAGACGGGGTTTCACTACATTGGCCAGGCTGGTCTTGAACTCCTGACCTCAACTGATCCTCCCACCTCGGCCTACCAAAGTGCTGAGATTACAGGTGTGAGCCACCACGCCTGTAATTATAAAACTATAAGATGAAGAAATCAGCATGCCCAGCTGCTAATTTCTTCATCTTATAGTTTATGACGACTCATTGCTTCACCATGTGACTGGCACATACTATCATCTGGTGGCTGTGTATCTACATTTTTGAGTCAACATTTGAAAGTCTAACAAAGCAAAAGCAAAACCTCTGACAGTCAACATTATATAAAATACATTGTTATTTCACTAACAGTTCAGAGCTCATGGCCTCTTTCTTCTCTAGGAGGCAGGAGGCAACACTGTCCACTGTGAATGGGGGATCCCAAAGAAGAGATGATATAGAAAACTGGGTTGGTAGAACACAGCCATGAAGAAGCTTATGAGGTTTCTGGCCTATAGCTCTGCCGTGTTCTGAGATTTTTTCTGAATACTTCACATCTTCCAATCTCCTGTCTTTCCTTGGCACATTAATGACACAAGGATACCTCACATCTAATTGGTGGAACAAACCTTCATTGGACTTCTACAGAACCCCTACGCATACTCTTTCATCTCACGCACATCAGGTATAAATGTTGAGTGGCTAAAATAAGTAGAAACCAGACTGCGCCTAGCCGGTGGACCCCTCTGACTGTAAAGCTATGACTAGAGAAATCAGCTGGCTCAGGAGCTCTCAGAGTTGGACTTGTTTAGCTGCTCTTGATTCTGACTCAGATTGGTTTCAGTGCATGAGAGACTGGTCTTCCTTTTTTAAGGGCTGAAATGTCTTAAGGGAGACCCCTTTTTGTATTTACCTGAAGCCCAGATTGAACACTCACCTCTGGCAAATCCAAGCAGATAAAGACTCATTAGTAAGAGAAGCACGTTCATCGGGATTTAGGAAAAGATGGGATCCTAGTGCGGGGCACAGCTGCTTCACAGAGCTATAAAGAGAACTGCGAGCAAAAGCTCTCAGTACTGAAGCAAAGCATCTGGGAATTCTAGAACCTCAGAAGTAACCCATGTTTCTTCACAATAGGTTGGGTTCCTAGGTTCTTATGTAGCCTGTTCGGGCAAATTGGCCCTTAGCCACAAACTGCTAATTTCACTAGTGAAGACCAGTGACTATTTTCTATGTACAAGGTGGTGTGTTGGGGCTGTGTGCCCTATCTTTAAAACAAAAGAAAAGTATTACCAAAAAGCACATACTTTTTGTAATAAAGTTTAAAAGATATCTACTCTCTTTTAAAGGTGCTTTTGACAACAAGGTATGATTATTGATTATTTTCTGTTTGGCTTTCTAAATCAGCCTTTCTTGGCTCTGATCTGCACCCTGGAAGACTGACCTCTGTTGACTTTATCAACTGAATGCTGGTTGAATTTCGCTTCCGATTGAGTTCATACAGGATTGGAGGGGAGAAGAGAGGGAAAGAAGGAAGAAAGGGAGGAATGGGGAGAAAGAGAGAGATTGGAATATTTGTTCTTTATATTCCCTTCCTGCCACAGTTGACACTGGCTGAGTCTCTACATGACAGAGCTTCTGATGGGTGTCCTCTCTTCCATGGCTCCAGCTCTCATCCATTCTACTGTAATATGTTTTCCTCCCACTGCCCTCTTAGGCCTAGGGATGATAATGGTTTCCTGCTATTACTAAAACCTGGATGCCCTAGCTTTCCTCTTTTTTTTTTCTGTTCCCTTAACCTTGTCCACTTCTGTAAATAGTCTTTTCATACAGACCTTTATCAACCATGTTTTTAGCAGGAAACAGGTGGAACTCAAAATGGGTAACTGAGGAGAGTTTACACAGATATGGGCAGCGTAAAGAGATCAAGAGATAGTAGAAAGCTGTGTTTTGACCTACGACTTCTACCAAAGGGGTGGCCAAGCTGAGAAGATGGATGCATTGAGGCTTCTACCTGGTGGAAGCTAGAACTAACGGGGGATTGGGTGGTAAAGATCTGGTAGCTTACCTTTCTTGCTGCTTTCGGCCCAGCTCTCTTGGACAACTTTATTTTACATACCACTGAATGCTAGATCTAGAATAGATGTAATTATGTTAACGTTTTGAAAGGAAGGCAAGGATTATAGCAATGAATGGGGAAAGAGGTAAAATAAGGCTGGGTGCAGTGGCTCACATCTGTAATCCAGCACCTTGGAAGGCTGAGGTGGGCGGATCACCTGAGGTCAGAAGTTCAAGACCAGCCTGGTCAGCATGGTGAAACCCCATCTCTACTAAAAATACAAAAAAAATTAGCCAGGCGTGGTGGTGGTCACCTGTAATCCCAGCCACTTGGGTGGCTGAGGCAGGAGAATCACTTGAACTCAGGAGGTGGAGGTTTCAGTGAGCTGAGACTGCACCATTACACTCCAGCCTGGGCAACAAGAGCGAAACTCTGTTGCAAAAAAAAAAAGAAAAAAAGAAATAAGACTGGTCCTGTGTACATGATCGTTGAAGCTGTGTGATGGGTACATGGGTGTACTCTCGACTTCTGTATATGTTTGAAACTTTCTATACTGAAAATCTTCAGGGTGGAGGGCAGAAATACCTATTTGGAAAGCCTAGATAATCAAGGCCTTATTTAAAATAGCTTCAGGGGTGATGGAGAAGTCTTCTCTAATATGTGTACACATTAGGGCTTAGATAGTAGAGTAACTGTTCCTTATCATACAAGTATCCTACACCCAGGGTCCACTTCCTGAGCAGGCACACAGGCCCACACTCAAAATGGCTGTGGTTTCATGCTTTTCTGTCAATCTCAGGAAATTCTTCATCACTTTCTAACAAAGGTGCCTCATTTTTGCTTTGCACTGGGTCTCACAAGTACTGTCTCCAGTCCTGCCTAGACCTCATTTTCCAGTCCCCTTGGGAGAATCACCATCTGCTGTTAGAAAGCTTTGGCCTCTGCAACCAGGAAGTTTCCCTTTAGGAAGAGCTGGGCACCCCTAAGTCCAGGCTGCTGACAGTTCCTCCCCTTCTTGCACTCTTCCCTACTTGACGAATATGTTCCCAGATAAGTTTCTTTGTGCTCTGATTTTTAGTAGACGATTTTTCAGAAACATCCCTTCCCACCTATCCCTCTACTCCTTAGATTTCTTCAGGTTTGATGCTTTGCTAGAAGGACTCATAAGACGCAGGAAAGTGCTTGACTTATGCTTACCACGTGATTCTAGCGGATACAGCACAGTAAGAGCCACATGGAAGAGATACATAAGAAAGCTATGGGGGCAGTGGTGGGTGCAGAGCTTCCATGGCCTCTATGGGTGAGCCATTCTCCCAGCACTTCAGCGTCTTCACCAACCCAAATGATCTCAATCCCGTTTGGAGGCTTCATTACACAGGCAAAATTGATGAAATTGCTGGCCATTTGTGGAGCCAAACTTCCTAACCCTTGAATCATGGGATTGGTTTCTCTGATGACCAACCCCCACCCTGAAGCTATCTAGGGCCACTTGATGAATCATCTCATTAGCATAAAAAGACAGTACCAAGGGTATTAGGATCCCTGTGCCAGGTTCATGAGCAAACACCAAATAGATATTTTTATTATGTCACAAAGAAATTTCCAGGATTGCCCTAAAGGAAGGCCTCAGTATGATTACTGTGCAGCAGGCTTGAAGGCAACCCTCCCAGATCAGGGCAGGAGAATGGACAGTCCAAAGTGGGACTCTCCAGGGAAATAGTAAAATAATATATTATTTGACAGCTCCAATGACAGCCATTAAAAATGCATATTGAGAAGCTCTTGGAAGGTGCGGAAGGTGGGAAAGCTTAGCCAGAAGCATAAAGTTACTTGAGCAAATGATAATAAGGTAATTATTATTTGTAGGAAAAAGAATATAAAATCATGTAATAAAAAATGTCATCTCACTTGTGAATACTCTTTATATATCAGTTAGGGCTCACTTGCAGGACACAGGAGCTTGTCAGGTGACTTAGCTTCAGCAGAATGTTGTGCAAAAGCAATTGCGGTTTTGCCTTTTTTTTTTAATGGCTACCACCTCTGTAACAATCAGGAAAGTGACCATGGCGTGTCAGTCAGCTTCCACAGGAACTGTTGGCTACAGGAGGACACCACTATGTGAGCCAGGAATCAGGAGTGGGGTGCCACCAGGACTTTTAGCTGTAGATGCACTCCACATGTGCTAGATAGGCATTGGCAAGACATGGTGTCTTGTTCCCTTTCTATCACTATTGTAAAGCTGGTACCTGGATCTAGAATACTGCTTCTGCAAAAACAACAAACAAAATGAAAAACAAGGGGTGAGGCACTGGGCGAAGTGAAGGGCGGCCCAGGTGGGGCCAGGCTGACTGAAAAAGATGGATACTACGATGCTGAATATGTGGAATCTATTTGAGCAGCTTGTGCGCCAGGCAGACATTCCCAGTGAAGGAAATGAACTCCAATTTATCCAGTTGGCGAAGGACTTTGAGGATATCCGTAAAAAGTGGTAGAAGACTGACCATGAGCTGGGGAAATACAAGGATCTTTTGATGAAAGCAGAGGCTGAGCCAAGTGCTCTGGATGTTAAGCTGAAGTGTGCAGGTAATCAGGTGGATGTAGAAATCAAATGGAGACAGAGCTGAGGCTGACTGCAAAAAGCTGGAACGACAGATTTAGCTGATTTGAGAGATGCTCATGTGTGACACATCTGGCAGCAAAAGCGAGGAGCAAAAGTCAGCTCTGGGTTTTGTCAACAGAGGCCAACCCTCCAGCAGCAATGCTGGGAACAAAAGACTATCAACCATTGATGAATCTGGTTCCATTTTATCAGATATCAGCTTTGACAAGACTGATGAATCACAGGATTGGGACTCTTCTTTGGTGAAGACTTTCAAACTGAAGGAGAGAGAAAAGAGACACTCCAGTAGCCGACATTTTGTTGATGGTTCCTCTGGATCTGTAAAGAAAACTTGTTCCATTGGCTCCACAGCAGACCAGGGTAATGAATCCATAGTTGCAAAAACTACAGTGACAGTTCCTGATAGTGGCGGGCCCATCAAAGCTGTGTCCACTATTGAGACTGTGCCATATTGGACCAGGAGCCAGAGGAAAACAGGTACATTCAACCTTGGAACAGTGACTCCACCCTGAACAGCAGGCAACTGGAGCCAAGAACTGAGACAGACAATGTGGGCACGCCACAGAATAACAGAGGCGTGCACCTGCATGACATTGTCTCTAAGACAGTTATTAAACCTGAGTCCTATGTTCCATGTGGAAAGTGGATAAAATTCAGCAAACTATCTCTGAAGTGTCGAGACTGTTGTGTGGTGTCTCATCCAGGATGTTGGGACCGCTGTCCCGTTCCCTTCATTTCTACCCTGATAGGAACACCTGTCAAGACTGGAGAGAGAATGCTGGCAGATTTTGTGTCCCAGACTTCTCCAATGATCCCCCGCCACTGGTGTGCATTGTGTAAATGAGAGTGAGCAGAGATGTGACTGAGACAGGCCCGTATAGGATCTCTGGCTGTGACTGCACAGTAAAAGAGCCGAAAGAGAAATTCCTCAGAGTGAAAACTGTACCCCTCCTCAGCAAAGTAGATGGTATCTTTGTGATCTGTAGCCTTCTGAAAGACTTTCTTCAAAACCTCAAAGAACCTCTTCTGACCTTTCGCCTAAACAAAGCCTTTATGGAGGCAGCAGAAATCACAGATGAAGTCAATAGCATAGCTGCCAAGTACCAGGGTGTTGGTGAACTGCCCCAGGCCAACAGGGACACATTAGCTTTCCTCATGATTCACTTGCAGAGAGTGGTTCAGAGTCCACATACTAAAATGGATGTTGCCAATCTGGCTATAATCTTTGGCTCTACAATAGTGGCCCATGCTGTGCCCAATCCAGACCCAGTGACAATGTTACAGGACATCAAGTGTCAACCCAAGGTAGTTGAGCACCTGCTTTCCTTGCCCCTGGAGTATTGGAATCAGTTCATCATGATGGAACAAGAGAACATTGACGCCCTACATGTCATCGAAAACTCAAATGCCTTTTCAACACCACAAACACCAGATATTAAAGTGAGTTTACTGGGACCTGTGACCACTCCCAAATGTCAGCTTCTCAAGACTCCTTCATCTGGTTCCCTGTCATAGAGAATTCATTCTACCCTCAACAAGAACACTCCCAGATTTGGGCGCAAAAGCAAGTCTGCCACCAACCTAGGATGACAAGGCAACTTTTTTGCTTCTCCAATGCTCAAGTGAAGTCACATCTGCCTATTACT